AACCGATCAGCTAATCTGGATTATTTCTCAATATCTAGTTTGCAATCGGATTTTTATCGAGGGTTGATGTACATTCAAGTGGGGCCTAAGATTACAAAAATAAAACAACCTTGTAATGTTTAGAGTGCTTTGTCCATGTATTACATAATTATGAATAGATAGTTTGTTCCGTTTAAAACTACCGCTAGCTAGTCCATATCCTTTTCATATTTAACTGGAGGGCATGGTCCAACATGTTACAATTAGGATCGTTTAAGAAAAAGCATATTCAAAAACGTTCAGTGCTGACCACATGGTAATGCATAGAAATGCCAAGATCGAAATGCATTGTGGATAAGTTACTAAGTTACGTTAAAGATGTCAATTCAAAAGCGACTTTTTATCGATGGAAGATGACATAGTTACTCTAAAACATTGAATTATGTCCATCATCTTTTAACGATGAGAAAATAATAAAATCAATAATACAATACAATATGAGCGGGCGATCTGTATGTAATATACAACTCTCTTCATGGGCTATGATTTCTATTGTGTTTTCCCTTATGAATATTAATGAGTTTTATAATGCAATATACTTTCAGTAAAGTGCACATGGACCATTTTAGAAAATCATTTTTAACTTGAAAGGCAAATATGATTCTAATCGTTGTTTTGAAGAAAAAGAGTTGTTTCAACTTTATTTTCTGAAGTAAAGGCATTTGAAAATTAAAAATGCTAATGAAGTGACGTCAAAGGTTTCATTAGATATACGAACCTTGAAGGAGTCACTTAAAAATGGTTTYATGRCATYAAATTTATCGTAWSCAATGTAGGRAATAASCATATTYYCAGATGGCGTTCATGAAAATGTTTTTGAGCGACTATTTCAAAGATCGTATATCTAAGGAGCACATAGAAGACATAGAAAATGAATAAAATACAAAATATATATGATAATAATTGCGCGGGGAAATCTTCACATTACGCTAAAAAAAGCAAAGAGACATGTTTATAAAAGAAACAATTTTCTCGCAGCTTTTTCGCTCTGTATTTTTTTCTCTCTCTATTCATTGACGCATTCTTGACGTCATAAAACTTTCAAACTTTCCACTTCGTCTTCGTGAATAATCCACTTGAGCGTTGAGCATTTCATAACACAACAAGCGTGCGGCAAGAAGGCATTAAACTCAACACTGTGCGTATTTTGTCAAACGTATTGTGTATAATCGATATCTTTTAATACTTCACAAAATTAAGTCGCCTCGCGGTTGATAGCCAAGTGTGACGAAGCATTGTCGTCGGTATTGAGCTGCGGAATGACAGAGAGATTTAGATTCACGTTTATGGCGAGCGTCAAACGCCAAATCAGCTCTTAAGATTTGTTTTAAATGCTTCTAAAGGAAAAATGATGTACTCCTGCACGATAAAAATATCGAATTTATAAACAAACGCGAAACAACCGAGTGTTATGTAAGAAAACATTGATCACGTGATTAATTTGAAGTTTGGTGTTCACAGAGGACATGGATCTAAATCTCTCTCTAAATCATTTTTGCAACGCGGGATTTTGAGCAGCAAGAAAATATTTATTCACACCTTTTTAAGCGCAAATATTTACAAAGCTATTAGCAATTTTGATTTTTACTTGTAAAAGTTCCCAWGATGCATTTCGAGATTCTATTATATTATAAAAGACACAGACTGCATTTTCAAAATGGTTGCCCTAATTAAATTAAACAAAATGCAACAATCTATGTCGCGAAAGAAGTATATAGCATCGTCGAATGTTGCTGTGAGTTACTCAATATTAATTGGGACATATTCACAACAATACTCCGATTTCGAGTTCTGGTTTGCTCTGTGTTAGCCTCAAAACCAAGTAACATATTCTTTTGTTTTATTGATAGCCCGAGAAAACGCATGGAATTTGAAAAGAAAGACAATAGAATTGATTTGAACTCTCACACTTTCATTCTCACAATTAGGAATATTTTGTGCACAAATGAGGCTAACACAGAGCATTGGAGAGAATTCGAAACTGGATTATTGAGTGATTATTGCCATCAAGACCTAATACCCATAGGAACTTGCGGTCATGCATTTGCCGTTTTTTTTTTTCTGACAACCTTTTTTGAATAGCTATATGCTCTATTAAACGTTTTGTGATTATATGGAATAATAGACCATATGAAAAAGGGTGTGGCTATCGTAACGCCTTGTTTTATAAGATGTTTAATATATCATTGCTTCCCATTGAAGGAATATATTATAATAAATAAGATCTGAAAGTTTCAATGCTCTTTCATTTAAGGACGACCAGCAATGACAGGTGTCTGAAATTGCAAAGGTTGAGTGAAAATCAGTATTGAGGCCTAACCAGCCTGCCTCGCTTTCAAGTTTTTAGTGAAATTCAAATGCTCGCAACCCTGCTGATATTCAACATTTGAAACTAAAACTCCGCCAATTTACTAGCTGTGGTATACTCTTTCTAACGGTGAAAACAGATTTTTAAAAACATGTGGACTGTGGACTCCTGCTGTTTAATGTGCTCATTCCCAGTCTTCTGCTCGTTTTTCATATGTTCAATATTTTTGATGAAAAAAATATTTATCTCTCAAATAACTACATTTACTTCTACGCCATTTGTTTGCCTTTGCCGTTGGCAATTAATTCCGCTCATTACTATTTCCTTTCATAACGAAAAAAAAATTGGTAAAGACAAATTAATTTGGACGTAAGCAGCTGGTTCGTCTTGTTTCATTATTTGTGCGGGTTTGACAAACTCATTATATYGCGATGTAAACTTTTAATCGAAAAAAGCCAATTAAATAGCGSTTATAGCTTCGGTGAAAGTGCACGAAGCAACGTAATTAGGTAAAATGTGAACTTATGCGTTTCCTTTATAGAAAGTTGCTGAAGTAGTGGTGAAATTGATGTGGGAAGCGTCGGTGTTCACATGTGCAYAAAAGAACTGTCTACAAACAATTAGACTTCGGCAAACAAGCCTGCCGAAAACATTTTTATTATACTTTTCCGGTACCAGAAATAGTTCAAAGAAATCGTTTATTTTATACCTTGAAAATAGTACTTGATAGACCCCCAAAAATCATTAGCCTAAAGTTTGAACGCATGAGAAAGGTAGCATAGGGACTTTTATATTTTGTCTGATGCTGATCACAGAAGCTCATCAGTACGCGAAGGCGTAGAAAATAAAAGAAAAGAAAAAAATAAAAAGTTAAGAACAATTTCCAGTTGGGAGCAGTCAGACTCAATTACGATTAACATTTTGCATTTTGAAAATAGCAATGAATACTCTATATCATTTTACGACTATTCGTTTTTCCCACATTCAAAGTTCAAATATAATCAAAAAACAATTATTAAATGTCCATACTTCTCTCATTGATGATAATGAGAGAGACACGTCTCTTCGATATCTTAGTAAAATAAAAAAACAAACAAACAAACAAATCAAAATTCTAAAACGAATCGTGAGTAGTAAGGAAAKGTAATACCTAGAAGGGACGATATCTCGAACACGTATCACAAAGAGGGTGGATTATAGGACGGTAATGCTTACAAGTGTTTGGAATTGAGAGGCCAAAGAGACTACTGTAGTAAAAAAAAATTGTAAAAGTCAGCAAAATATATCTTTATAATACATATCGAGTTTCATTTCATTTTATTTCACTTCAATCCTTTCCATTCCTTTCCTTTCCTTTGCTTTCTAATTTTATGTATTCATTTATTATTTTTCCYTTTTCCATTTTCATTTCCTTCAGATTTTTTAAACAGCTGAAACGTCAAATGATTACCATTACWATATTACTAGTATTAATGAAATGTTTCTGTCTGAAGACCACGGGAACAACGAATAGTTAAAAAAAAAGGTTAAAAGGCCTTTTAGATGAAGCGTCAGGGTTCAAAAGCCATCGCTGTAAACATAAAACTTACCTATCTGCGTGCAGAGTTGAGGTTATTTTTGAACTACTTTTACCCCATTAACTTAACTCAAATTCCTTTTGATGTTTTTGTCAGTCACTACACGATAAAAGCATTTAGATAGAGGCAAATCTTACCCTTATAATTCTATTAAAAACCGAACCAACTGGGGGTCGAATGTAGAAAAGGCATTTCAGCAAGACAAGTTCAGTAAAAATCGTCATTGTTTTCGATCAAGAAGATCGCATGCCGTTTTTCTGTAAAAGTAATAGAAGTTTGAGGACACAAGGAAGGGCCCAAAAATGATTTTGTTTTTCTCTTTGCTCAAGTCAACAATAAATCGCAATTTTCGACATAGAAATATGCTTTCCCTTGCGAGTGTGCTCAGTAAAAAACAACAACAAGTATTTCGACCAATCAGAAACAGCGTAAGAATTAAGTCATAACATGCAGTCCAGACAGAAAAATTGATTAACAGAAAGTACCGCGATACATCGCGATCTTGAAAACAATTCCCTTGCCTTATATGGATCTGTGCGCATAAATTAAAGGGCGATGGGTAACCAGCATTCAATGCTAACAGAAAGTACCGCGATACATCGCGATCTTGAAAACAATTCCCTTGCCTTATATGGATCTGTGCGCATAAATTAAAGGGCGATGGGTAACCAGCATTCAATGC